CCAAACAACAACGTTCACGTTTTGTCACCTTGGACTGTCAAAAAATAAATTGTTTTTTGTTTTTCCAAAAAAAAAAACCAATCAATCAATTTGCATCTGTCCTACCAGAAAAAAAACCAATAGGATAAATAATTATTGTGTACATGTCGATCAAATAACAAACTTCTCTCAATGTCAAAATCCAATACTAACAAAAGAAACAGAAATCAAAATAAAGAACAACACGGGTAAGTGTTTTAATGATGGTGGTGGGCTATCGCCCACCACTCGTCATCACTCTAGTTAATATATAAGAATATTGCTATCATTATATTCTCTTCTATTGATTTTAAAAAAAATTTTTTTTATGGTGTATGTATACATAACAGAACAAAAAACAAAGCATATTACGATGATGGTTATGATGGTGGTGATGATGACAAGGAATTTGATGATGATGATGATGACAAGGAATTTGATGATGATGATAAAGACGTTGACAATGATGATGATAAGAGTGTTGATGATGATGATGATAAGGACGTTGATGATGATGATGACAAGGATGTTGATGATGAGGAGGAATATGAAGAGGAAAAACCAAAAAAGGCAAATATAAAACTTAAATTGTTGGATTATTTCTTTTATTAAACAAGAAAATTCTTATTTGCATATTAACAAGAGAACTTTTATTTGTAGATATATTGAAGTCTTGTCTTTTCTAAGACTGCATTTAGGAAGGTAGCAAAGTAAAGACTAGTGCTGTAATCCAAAAAAGGAAAAAGTATGGTTGCAAAAGTGGTCGCAAAGGTAATTGCAACCACTTTTTATATGCCATAAATACAATTACTACCATCATCATAATTTACGGCACTAGTCTTTATAGCAAGGGAAGTTAGTCTGGGGATAAAACCTGGACTACGCTTCTGATGCGATGCATTGGATGAAATGCAGAAGGTGCGTCTTTTCCTTTTTAACTAACTAATTGAATGATTTTTTATACCGGTAGACATTAATAATTTTTAAAACAGTTAATCGAGACAAAACTTCATTTTTTATTATGTGATGCGTATGTATAAAGTTTAATATTAAAAAAATTGGTAATTAAAAAACATTTATTAATCATTTTCTCTTGATCAATTATTATTTCAGCGGCATGTGCGCTCAGCATGCTGGTCGAACTATAATCAAAGTTGAAGATTTGGTTTTCGCTAATAAAGATGGTTCCTCAATTAGTTGCAACTAATTGTGGCATATAAAAATTGAATTGCAGTTGCAGTTTCAGCATATGAAAGTTGAATTGCGGCTAATTGCGGTTCCATCTCTGTTCACTAAACATTTTCGTGACAGAGTCACAATCGAGGTGTTAACATCAAGAAATTAATCATTGATGTTGTTACTTTGAAGCATATTTATAAGTTAATTTTTAAAGTTTAAATTAGGATTAGTTTAAAACTTACTCAATAATCTCAGATTATTTATTTATTTAGATTAAAATATGATTAGTTATTTAGTGATTATTTAATTGATTTATTTATTTATTTAATATTTATTTATTAATTGATTATTATTTAATTAATTGATTATTTATTGGTTTATTACTTTGAAGATTTTTGTTTACTCTGTTCATAACAGTCATGGGACACATGTCACAGAGAGTGTAATTTCATATGTGAAATTAAAATTTCAAATCTGTGTAACAAATTGGGTTTTAAAAATATCTCGACTTTCTAATAATAAACTTGAACTTCACTATTAAGATAAAAAAAAACTACACCATTTAAGCTTTCTAACCATATATTTTTATATCTGAGAACGCTCCCTATATAAAGCTATGGCCTAAACATGACAGGCTATATGTAAGTGTGCAAACTACAGGTCAGCTTTGTTAGATCCAAAGATATGAAGTAATACATATAAAAAATTACTGTGATTTATGTAGATTTTTAGGGCCACAAATTATTTCATCAATAGATTTTCCCGAAGGCAACACCCAAATGTTATCTGGACTGTCTTTATCAGGATATTTTATGTAACTTCATCAGGAAAATGGGTACAAATATTATGCGTATATAATACACAATTGCAGGAATTAAGCATATAATATGCGTACAAATCATGTATTTTTTTATGTATGCAAATTGTACATATATTATATGCTTAATCCCTGCAATTGCGTATTATATACACATAATATTTGTACCCATTTTCCTGATGCTTTGAACTGGTATCTGTTTCTCCAATAATTCAATGTTTGGGTCAATATTGCAATTGTTATAGTCTATCTGATCCAAATCCAAATCTGTTTCATCCTCATTATAATTCGAATCAGTCTTTGTTCGTTTTAAAACCTTATCATCATTCTAAAGATAGGATTTTCATTAGAAATAAAATCATAACACAATAAATATAAAAAAAAATGTATACCTTTACTTCTTTATCTCTCTTCTTTGAGGATGGCTCTGCAATAGTGTTTATGTCAACAGCTCTTTCAATTACATTATTATTAGATATATTGCTGCTCATCATATTAATTATGCCAACTGGCTGATGGAAGTGTACTTGTTTTTGCAAGCATCTCTTCTCCCATTCTTTTGCTTTTTTTCAATCAATTTGGTGATCCTATGACATTTTATTTTTTTACTCAAAATTGAAAAAACTGAATTAGTATTCTTCCACTGGAACACATCATAGCCAAGCAAGCTACCCTGTGCAACCAGTGGTCCAGTGCTGGATCGGTGAGCAACCTTTGGCATCAGCTAACTAAGTCAACTGTGCACCAGCACCAGTTTCATGGCTTGGTGAACAACTTTGAATGACTGATGACCAAGCAAGCCTCCAATCACACCACTTTACCTCAGTACTTAAATAAGATAAGATATAAAAAATAAGATATAAAAGGTTTTTACTTGCCATTTTGTATCTATCAAGAAGTATTCTTGTGTATTTCTTTCTGTCACCTTGTTCTGATTCATTGATTGTTTGAAGACTTTTTATATAACAATCAACCTTCATATGAAATGGTTCTTTGTCACAATCATTCAAAAAGCCAAGGATGTTCCAGTTTACAGGATCTTGGTCAAAATATTTGTGCATGTAATCAGTCATGTTTATAAAAGTAGAGTTTTTGAGCAAAAAATTTTTTTAATTTTTTATTTATCAGAGCAATATTCACCTGCAGATCAGCAGGGAGTTTATTTTCCCACACAATTTTTTATTAATAAAATTTCGAATTGGGAATTGGACTAGGAAAATCAACCCCTCAGCTGATGTTTTTATTTTGAGTTTTCTTACTTAATATTAATTTATTATACAAGGATTACAATTGGAGAAAAAATTGGATCTTGTTTGCATAGTAGAGGAATGAGATATAGGGCTTGGAATATTTTCTTTGTATGTGTGTAACCAATTTTAAAAGGATTGTTACTAAAAATAGATTTTTTGTCTGAGAGGTTGATTTTCCTAGTCCAATTCCCAATTGAATGTCTTCATACCCTCGTTTGATACCCTTGTTGTGTAGCAAATTGCCACCAAATTTGATACTTCTTTATCATATGTATCTGCTTTAAAAAAAATTTTTGAAGCAAGTTGTTAATAAAACCGAAAATAATCTCAGCCTTAAAGTCAAATTTTGACTTTATTATTATATTCTTATTATATAGAAATTTGTTAATGCGTGCAAACATAAATTAAATGTATAGAATTATGTTCACTTTGCTTCCTAAGGTATGTCTTTTATACATATTAATGTGTGATATTAAATTTTTATTTTTATATGATTAATATATATACTCTATTTTTTGAAGAGTATAATTGTGAGACCACATTTTATAGTAAAACTTTATTATGGTGTGTGCAATAAACAATATTGGATATAAGGAGTTGGCTAGAGTTGATGGAATTAATATTACTATTACTATTGATCTGCGTGGACTGATAATACATTTTGTTACGTGTTTTTTTTTTTTTTTAAAAAAAATCCAAAATGCATTCATTTAAAAATAGAAAGCGAAAGGAAGTAACTGATAAAGATAGAAGAGAATAAGTGTTATCGTAAGAATGGTGGTTATCTCCACTTGTAATCACTCTAATTATATAGAGAACTGTTCATAAGTTCCAGTATGGATGCATTGGACAAATCAAAAGAAATTGGTGCACATCAACCAATTGCAGATTTATCTGAAGCAGTACCAAATAATAGAAAAAGATCTCACGAAGATGAAGTGAAAGATCCTCCAAGGTAAACAACAACAGAAATTTGCAACTATTCTTTTATATTAATAATTGTCATTTTTTAAACTTTTTTTTCTTTCTTTAATTTAGTCAAAATCGATTATTGATGAAGTATGTGTTTCTAAACAAAAGGATTTGGATTAGATTAATCCAACTGCAACTACACCAAGTAAAAAGATCACAAACCTAAAAATCCTTGAAGAATCCAGTTCATATATAATAAATAAATAGAATTGATAAATTGCATAACTTGTGTCAATAACAATATCAATAGCAATTTGCAACTAGCCAAGTGATAAATAAAACCTTACAACTTTAAAAAAAAATTTCTAAATTTTTTCATTAATAGTCAATTCTGGTGCAGAATTTTGCGGATCATTAATTGATTTTTTCAAGCCAAGTTTTAGTTCTAATACTAATATGTCTTAAAAAATTTTGACCCCTAAAATTTTGGTTCACTTTGTCTGGTTTTGTTGCAGCATGCCCCATATATTGTTTTTTACATATGCATGAATCGAACGTTATATTAAATCTTTTAGTAAAATAAATAAAATAATGTGAGTATCAATTGATTTTATTACTATTACTATTATTGTTGTTGTTACTATTATTATTATTAATATTATTACTATTAATATTATTACTATTATTACTATTATTATTATTACTATAATTATTATTACTATTATTATTATTACTATAATTATTATATTATTACTATTATTATATTATTATTATTACTATTATTATATTATTATTATCATAAAATCAATCATTGTTACAAAAACATTATGAAATTATAAATAAGTTTGGAAAATTTTTTATTTATAGGAATTAAAACTAGTTGTTAAAATTAATATATATATATATATATTTATAAAGATATATTGATATAAACATTTAAACAAATCATAATAACATTTATCATGCCATTAAAACTGTCACTACATATACATATATATATCCCTCCTTTTTTAAAAAAAAAGAACATCCAAAAAAAGATCCAAAAATATTAAAAAATAAACTTAATTTTAACTTCTGGAAGAAGGTGGACGACCCATACTATTGCTATTGCGTCTATCGCCGCCGCCTCTGCCGCCACCATGTGACATTCCTCGGCTGCTATTATTATTATTATTATAACGAGGATTATTGTAACTTTGGTTGCTTCTGTATCTATTATTGTTGTTATTGATATTGTTACCATAGCTTCCCCCCTCTTCATTTTTATCTTTACGCTCTTCGACAATGATTGTTGTAGATCCTAACAAATTTTGATCAGTGAATGTTTTTTTCTCAAGTACTTTTTGATATACATCTTTACTGCTAAATTCAACAAATGCACAAGACTAAAGAATATATATATAAAAATATTAATGTAAATATAAATTATTATTATCATTACTTTATCATTAAAATTACTCTGTTTACCTTTTTCTCGACGAGATTAAAATTTCTTATTTCCCCATATTTTTTAAACAAATCAAGAAGTGCACCATGAGTTACATTTACATCACCGCCATTATTCCATCGAACATATAATGATAATTCTAACAAAAAAAATTTTTACAAATTAATAAAATTAAACATTTTATATAAATAATATGAATAATAAAACCACAAAGTAATTAAAACTTTTTCACACCTCTATTGGCTGTCATAGTGCTAGTATTTCCAAGATTTCTATTATTAGTAAAACTTCCTCTCCTATTCATGTTATTGTTGTTGTTGCTCATATTATTGTTATTATAATTGTTATTATTATTATTATTATAATCTCTCGTGTCACGGTATGATGATTGGTTTTGATTTTGTTGATGATACGGATTACGATGATGAGGGTTATTTATATGATGAGGACTCTGATAAGGTTGATGAGGATTATGATGAATATTTTGTGGTGCAGCTTGTTGTGATGGTTGTGATGGTTGTTGTGGTAATTGTTGTGGTGGCTGTGGTGGTGGCTGTTGCTGCTGTGGTGGTTGTTGTTGTTGTTGTTGCTGTGGTGGTGGTGGCGGTGTTGGTGTTGGTAGTTGAGGTGACTGTGATTGTTGAGGTGGAGTTGGAGTTGATGTTGGTGCTGGTGTTTTAGTTTGTTGGGTGGCTGGTGGTAATCCACGATTTTTATTATCGGTGGCAGTAGGACTGCTGACAACGGTAGCCCATGAAGTTAGTTTAGTGTTAGTAGATGTTTTGTTTGATGGTACGCTTGTGTTTATTTGAGGACTAGATGAAGTGATAACTTTATTTGTAACGCCAGTAGTTACTTTTGGTATATTATTATTTTGATTTTGATTGTCGTTGTTGGTGGTGGTAGTAGTAGATTTATCATTTTCTGCTGTATCGTTAGATTTTTCTTCAACAGTATTGTTAATTTTATTAGTGGTGTTTATTTGTGATTTCAAATGATTTTCTACATTATTGTCAGTGCCACCATTAATTGATGATTCTTTAGATAAATGTTGGGTTTCCATAATATTATTACTACCAACACTTTTTCCTTTACCATCATCATTGTAATTATCATTATCATCATCATTATTAATATCGTCATCATTGTTATGATTCTCTGCTTTTGTCAAAGTAGTTGAATCTTCGATAGGATTAGAAGCAGTAACAGACGAAGTGGTGGTGGTGGCAGTGGTGGTGGTGGTGGTAGCGGTGGTAGCTGGAGTACCTTTAGATGCACTATCAATATTTACTGTGGATGAGGTTGTTGGTGCCGCAGCATTATTATTATTGGTGTCGTTGGTGTTTATTTCTTCAACAAGTTGTGACGATGATTCTTCTTCGACATCAAATGTGTTCTTTACATCATCATTCAAATAACGAAAAATGTCTTGTAACACATAGTAACCATTGGGTTGCGTATCAAGGATTACGGTTTGAACAAATTTTCTGGGCGGATCTCCATTATTAGACAAAGAACCAAGGACTTGCAATAAAATCTTTTTTTCAAATACTTCAAGACAGTCGATATTTGTAAAATCAACTATCACATTCTTGTATTTTTTTTGCAAAATATTATTATCAATTTCCTAAAATAATAAATAAATATGTATATATTAGTAATTTTATCTTATTTAAAAGAAAATCTATATAATATTGTTTCTTGTGCGAAAAACCAAGATTTAATAGGTTTAACAGAATCAGAGAAAAAAATCACATTTTTTCTTCCAATTTTGGCAATGAAACAAAAAATTTAGTTAAAGTTGAAAGTCGATGGCTTAATAAAATTACCTTTAAGCCTTGACACACGCTGATGGGTTCTCCCTCTTCTCCCCTGATTAGTTTGGATTGATTCTTATAAAAGTCTTTCATGATTTCTGGTTTTTCATTAAGAGTCTTGTAATAAAGTTGAACAAATTCCCAACTGACAATTTGAGTATTGTTACTCATTTGTTCTACTGCAGTAGCAGACATGATTTTTCTTTTTTTATTAAAAAGAAAAAAAGATCTTAAAATTTAGATTAAAGAATCAAAGAAAAATCTTTATGAATTTTCAATTACAAAGGTAAGTTGAAATAGATATATGTGTCTTTATTTTTTTGACTATACACAATCAACAAAAAAATATTGAAGAGTGTGCTAAGAAAAATTTTTTTGATAAAGTTGAAATTATCAACATTTTAAATTTTTTTTTTTGCAACACCCATTTTAAAGTATTTTCCCCACAAAAATCTATTGGCTAAAATTATCCATGTTTATGTAATGTACAAAATGAATTTTTATTTTTATATTAATTAAATATATCATCGATTTACTGATTTAATGGTAATGATTGATATCGATAACTAGCAACCAATCGCTACCGCTAGGAAACGATGGCTTTATTTGTCAATGTAGATGAAAAAGGAAGATTTTTTTACTTTTTTTACGTTCAAAAAAAAAAATTTTTTTATACATATTATGGAAACTATGGAATTAAACTTTTTGTTATAATACTAAAAAAAAAATTTTTTTCTTGTTTTATTTATCTCACAATAGATTATTATATGCAATTTAATAGGAGGAACAATTATATATTGTCTGCCAGATTTTAAAGCAAAAAGTTTTATTTATCATAAATAAAATTATATTTTGTTCTGGTATTCTTCTCTGCTGCTTCCTCAAGCTCCATTTCATTACTAGCATTAGTAATAAAATTAACATTGCAACAATTTTTCCCTTGTTATCCATTTCCACTTCAACATCGTCTGCCTTAGTTTTCTGTAACGTGGCCGTGGTCGTGGGAGTAGTAGGATCATCAAGGTTATAACCTTCGGCACGTAACATTCCTTATCACAAATGAGATTAACCATAAAAGACGGTTTATCATCTGCTGTTCCAAGAACATTCCATCCATACGAATTGATGCTATCTTGTCATTGCGACTATGACAACCATAGGTTACCCAGTGGCATCTTCACAAATATCTTGCTTGATGAATGGAAGAGGGTTGCATAAAATAAACTAGCGGTGCATCTGTATCGTCAAAAACGATAGATTTCTATATCGATCCTTAAATCAGAAAGCAATATTAAAAAAAGAGACATGTACAAAATGTTTAATGAAAAGTTTGAATAGCAAGCAAGCACACTGTCTTTATTAGTGCTAACATCAATGCTAGGTTTATCATCCTCTCCATGCTAGAATATCCATGGTAAGATGCATAATAATAATAATAATAATAATAATAATAATAAAGGTATGTAAAAGAACAAATTAAATCTCACGAAGCTTACTTCTGTTCCCGATGCCTTTATTTTTAAAAAAACCCTGCTAAACTGCCACATCATTTTTAGTTGGTACATTACCAAGTATTTCCTATAATTACAAACACATGCTATTAAGAATTTTTTTAAATAATCTTCCGATTGGAAGTCTTACACTGTTGAGTGGAGATGTCATCGTCTCTATATGTCTTCAATGTAAATTTTTTCTATCGAAATATGATATTTTCTTTTGCCTCTTTTTACTACCGAATTGAGATTTAATCAGTGGGAAAAATTTTTTTTTACGATGTCATATTTATTATTAATACTAATAGAGGCAGGTCTTTCTTAATTTGGAAAATCATTAGAGCAATATATATATGTATATATGCATAGTTTGCTCACTCTATAGCGAGCGACCTTCCATATATTTTTTGTGTGAAGTTGAATTTTCTTTCCCCCCCCCCCAAAAAAAAATAATGAATTCTGAACCAATATTACCAGGAAAAAAACATAAGTTGAATCATTATCTAATCATATTGATCCAAAGTTAGTAATTATCAATTAATACCATTACATTTTATAAAAAGAAAATACACACTCACTCACACGCTCGCTCGCTCGCTATTAATTAATGTAATAATATAAAAATAGAAATTTCTGGTAGAGATTTTGGAAGCAGAGTTGTACATACGAAACCTCATTTTCGATTAAGAACAAGGCCAATGCCACAACAAGAGCAGGAAGGAAATAATGCAAATGTAAGAACCACCATAAAACGTGTACCGTTTGCTACCCCAACAGCAATACCAACAGATCCAACAGCCTTAGAATTGGAATTGATACATCCACCACCAGTGCCACCATCAATGACCACTCTGCTGGAAGATCGATCCAAACTACTCTATGCTCCATTTGACAAAACAACATTTCTACCGATTTTTGATTTATTCCTGTACAACGTTAGCAAGTATCTTGGATATTTTGGATATCGTGATGGTGCAGAGTGTAGCAATGATTTACCGGAAGATGTGCTATACGAAGTTGCTATGAATATATTAAAACTGTTGGATAATGGAGATACGACAGGATGGAGTGATGCGCGTAAAAAAGAAGAAATTGAAAAATCGTTATTGATGTCGCCATCACCATTAGTTCCACCATCGGAATTGAAGGAAGTGCCGTCAGACTTTTTTGCGGAATTGATTGGATCTGCAGAACTGGTTTTGGAGTTTCCGAAAAAGGAAGTTGATGGTAAGATGAAAAGAATAGACTATGATTATTTAGAAAAGCTATTTAAAGAAAGAAGGGAAGGCGGCGGTGGTGATCAGGAAAATGACAATGATGGCATTGATGATTTGTCATCATTAGATATAAACATCATCCCACCACCATCACCACCAATAGCAATTACTGATGTAGTTGAAAATGCCAATGATCCATTTGAAGGAGTTGTTGTTGGAAATCAAGAGGAATACGATGATATTCTTGTGAATTATAAAATTGATTACGATTATGATATCACTCCTTAATTAATATTTAAAAATGAATTTTTGTATGTCATGTGATATTCTAAATTGTTCACGTGACACTTTCGACAAGTTGTACTGTATATAATATTTTCCTTAAAAAAAAATAATAAAAAAAATAGGGATTGTACGCAGTAAAATATTTTTTCAATGAATGATATTTTCAAAAGCAAGAATGTTTTTCTAATAACCAATCATATAATTGACACCATGCGGTTCCTATTGATGAATGGCATTTTCCGAGATAAATCATTTAATAATCTTCAATGACCTATATATCCCATTAGAATCACCAAATTAAGCAAAGTTCACAAAAATACAAACATGGAGAACACGTTAGAATTAAAAATCCACGTTTTTATGGCATGTTTTTTGTACAAGCAGAAGATCTTTTTCTAAAACAAAACATTTGTTTTTTATTAATTTAAAATATGTCTATTTTATGAATTCTTTGTTTCTGAAAAAGACGTTGATGTTGAAAAAATAACATCGGGAAATCACCTATTATTTTTTTTATTATTGTTGTTGTTGTTGTTATTGTTGTTGTTGTTGTCGTCGTCGTTGTTGTTGTTGTTGTTATTCTGTATTTCTATATTTAGACACAAGTAAAGATTTTTCGTTTCTACAAATCTTATCATCGTCACCAATAGGAATTTAGAAAACGTTAAAACGAAGAAAGTAATGATGTATAGTATTAATATCACTCTTACTATAAATAGTTATAAACAAATATTTTCCTGTTATGTTAATTTGTATCTATTTTGGTGTTGTATTGTAACTATTTCCATCAAGATACACGACACCAAGAATGCATAATGAGAAACAATTTAATTAAAAAAAGGAGGAGAGATAAGGATAAGGATTAGACTAATGGATAAATAAATATTTTGTGACAACAGGAATTTTCTTTAAAAATATTTAAAAGAATATTTTTTCCTTCCACGTAGAAAGATTGTAAGTAAAGAATAATAATAAAAACAAATATTTTATATGCATGTGTGTTTGAACATATAAATATGTTTATGATGATGTGTGCGTGCGTGTGCGTGCGTGTAAAACATTGATCGATCGACCAATGAATAAAAAATGATAAAATGAATGATGGCGACGGATGAAGAAGAGGCAAATGGATAAAAAGGAACCGATACAATAATAATTAATGCAAACAAATGATCACGTTATCCTCAAACATTCAAACACTCCTCAAACAAAATTTGCGCACCAATTAAATTTCTCCACTTCATTTAAAATAAGTGAGAAATTTCGGAACATCGAGAAAATTCCCTCGGAGGGGTTGAATGGTGACGAGCGTATGCATGTATGCATTAAACCGTTAAATGCAAAATACATTTGTTAACGACTAGTTACCAATATTATATACATGCATATAAAATATATATTTTTTCTTTTTGTATACAGTAAATTAAAAATCTGGGTTGCATAAACATTAGCTTATTTTGTATATAAAAAAACAATTAAAAATGATTGGTTCCAGCAATTTTCTATGACAAATAGAATTATATAATAATCATTGTTGAAAATGATTTTTTTATTGTTCTTGACAAAAAGAAAAAAAAGCGATTTTTTGAATGTTGAAAAAATTCCAAATTTGGTCTACAAAAGATTTTCCAATTCAGGCAGTTAGCGTGTATAGATAGATATCCATCTATGTAATTAGTTAGCAGTAGGATGCGGAAATGGGAATTGTAGTTGTCATAAAATTATAAACTTAAAAAAGGAAATTTAAAAAGTTTTTTATTATTTGCTGATAAAATTATGTTCAAGAAATGCAATTGATTTTTTTGTAAAAGATATTTGTTGTGTTTTTTTTGTTTGTTTCAATCAATGAAAAAATTTTAATTTTAAGACAAATTAATTTAAAATTGAACAAATAGAATCTTAGAGTGACGCTTTTTATATATAATCTATTAATAGTTAACTGCTAAATTAAATTAAACTACTAAATAAACTCACTCACTCACTCACTCACTCACTCACACTCTATTTAAAATTAAACACTAAATAAACTCTTTTAATATACATACAATCGAATAAACTACCAAATAAAGTTCGCCCATTACTAAAACTCATTAATATGCTCAATCAATCAATAAATCAATCAAAAGTCAATCAGTCAATCACTCAATCATTCTAACATTCTAGTAGGAATACTAAAAATAAAACTACCTAAATACTAAACATGCCACAAAATAATTCCGGAGCACTAAAAATATGCTACTAAATAAACTCAATTACTAAATAAAGTAATAATAATAAAGCTCCAATTTAATTTTTTTCTGATATATAATTTTTTTTTTTTTAAAAAGCAAATGATCGAATAAATAATTGCTCAAATATAAACATTTAATGTATATAATGTTTACCAAAATAACAATTTACATTGTTTTTTATTTACTGTAAAATAAAAAAGCGAACCCTAAAACAAATAATATTTATTAACCAATTGTAATACTTAATTAAAATCAAAAAAGAAAACTTTTAGGAAGAATTATATAAATATTACAAATTAAATTTCCATTAATAATATTCATTTAGATAATTTTTTTGCATTCAAATCTAAAATATTATTCTTTGGTTATATATGTTTCTTTATTTTTAATTCAAATCTTTAGGCAAAATAATAAATATTTGTATTTTGTTATTATCATTGTAAAGAAATTACAATAACATCAGCTCATTCATCCGATGATTTAATTTTCCATATTTACTCTTTATGCCACCATCACGTACACCATATATATAAAGTCAGAAGACACAACCAATACATTGATATTCCGACAAAATGGATTCTTTTTTCTGCCCATCTTTTCTATCGTCATCTGTCATCACTCGCATCATTATATCATCTCGCATTTTTATAAAAATATACTCCTCATCTCTATTTTTATCCCGCTCATTCCACGCGCGCGCGTGTGCAAATTTAGATTTTTAGTCCACAAAAAAAAAATAAAAATAAAAATAAAAATAAAAAAATATCTTGTTGCATAATCTGATAATAATGATATATAGTATATTATTTATTAGTTTTTTTTATCAACGGTTAAAGTATTACTATTTTTACCAATTTAATAAAAGAACTCTTTGCGTTTTGTTTATTTATTTTTTAATTATTGTGATTTAATTAGCAATAAAAAATAATAAATAAAAAACAAGTCTCACCAATAATTTTTAATTAAATTATTCAAATGTTCATTTTTACTACTCTTGAAGAAGAAAAATAACAATAAATAAAAAAAGAAGAATTCTTTCTTTTTAGACAATCATAATCACTTTTGCCCCTATATTATTATTAATGATGCATATAGAAGATCATTACTATATTTGGGTAATAGGTTATTTACTTTCTACCGAGTTTGACGAATTTCAATAAAAGTCCAAATTTTTTTTTTAATGAATGATGGATTTTTTAAATAGTGAACGTTTTTCTTATTCACCTCAACAACATACATAGACATATGAAACACTATTAAAGATTAATGAATATGCTCTAATGCTTTTTTTGGGTTTCAGTGAAATAGAATAATAATAATAACATTACAAAATTTTCAATCGGTAGATCGGTCGATCAGTCTATAGTTTAGTCGGAAAGCGCAATATTATTTAATGAGTAGTCAATCGGTTGAATTCGATTGGGTGATTAATGACATTGCTATTAATCATGCCATTTTCTACCTAAAATACCACTTGATACAAATTCACATTTATAGAAATTGATCAAATTGGGAAATTAAGAAATTATTTTCTTTTTTAATCCTAGTTTGTAAAGTTTAGAAACGTTTTATTTTTTCAAGTTCCCTCCCTCTCTCGGTGACAGACGATGAGAAGAAGATTACGATTGTGCCTTGTATGATTATTATTATGATGATGCCTATCATTTCGGAGATTCTAAAGTTGGATAAAAATAAAATTCTAAAGATCTACAAAGTGCTTGTAACAAAAAAAAACAAAATGTTAGGATTGGTCGATAGTCGCTTTTTGTGTGTGTCGTTATATATTTATGTGTTTAGAATGATGATGAAAGTTGTATTTTTTAGTGCAAGTTGTTTGTGGTTTCGTGCGAGCTATATTTAGTTGGTATTATTATTAGTATTATGTGCGGACAATTGTAGGTGATGATTGGTAGTTTTATTATTTTTCTTCTTTTTATGTTTTAGTATATATTTTTTTTTTTATGGATTATAAATAATAATATATGTATCACTTTTTTATAAGGCTCATAATAATTTGTGTATGTGTAATATAGCTCACTCACCCTAAGACTTTATCGTTCGTTTGTACGTGTTCAACAAACATTATATTTATTTTAAATTCTTTTTTGTAAACGAGTTTATCCCTCATTTTTGTTTTTTTCACCTCTATACTTTGGTTGACGTCTGAATCTTCCTTCTACTATTAAAAAAAAAATTTGTTTCACTTCTCATCATTTCCATTCTTTCTAAATATATTTGCCCTTTGCTTGACCCTTTCACTTTCCTTTTTAATCTTATACTTTCTTTTTTTCCAACATAAAAAAATAAAATAAAAAATAAATAATTGTATAATTATATAATAAAATAACCGATATATATAATCTATATATATAAAAAAATATATATATATATACAATACATATAATTTTTTTTTAAAAAAAAAAGAAAAATAATTAGCTTTGCTTTTTATTTATTTTTATATACAATTTTTTTAAAAAAAAAAAAAACCTAAAATTTAATTACATACTTTCTTTTTATCTTCCCTTTTCTTTCATCATAACAATTATATCTTGTTAGAAAACAAACATTAAAAGATAAAAATTTTTATTTTTATTTTTTTTTAATTTATTAATTCGACTTTTTTACTTCCTTTAATTTTTCACATCTCTATACCTCTCTCATTTTACTCTCTCGCTCTCACATATTTATTTCTTCTTCCATTCTCCCAACAGTCTTAAATATATATATATATATATACTGTTTTACCTTTTCATTATCACATATCCATAGGTAACCTTTTGATAAAAGGTAAGAATTAAAAAAATTTTTTTTTTTTATTCTCGTTACGTTCAATAAATAATAATGTAATCGATTATCAGTGTGTGGGTAATGTTAGTAAAAAAGTAGTGTGAAGTAATAGAAGTTAAAAAAAAATTAAAAATTAATTTTTGTACTTCGAAAAATTTTTTTTTAATTTTTATAATGACGTATTAGATTGGAAGGAAATTAATTTTTAATTTATTACATAGCATATAGAGGAACGTTTAAAATAGTTTGTCTAATAATTATTGGTGATTATTTATTTATATTAGCTTTAATTTAATCATACATATAATATATACAATATATATATACATATATATATATATGTATATATCAGAAAAAAATATAAATATCAATCAACAAACGCTTTCAAACTTTAGAAAAAAAATTAAATTTTTTTTTTAAAAAAAAAATAATATATATAATATAATATAAAGAAGATAGTAATATATTGAATATATTATATTTATTATAACAACATAACATAACATAACATAACATAACATAACATAACATAACATAAACTATATAGATAGAATTAACATAGAATCAAAACATAGAACTCATTTTTTTTTTAGAAAAACAAAAACTACAATCACCTTCTTGATCAATTATTATAATAGAAAAAAAAATTTTCCCTTTGTAAATAATATATATGCTAGAAGATAATTTAATTTTTTTTTTTGGTTAACTCAAAACTTAATTTGGAACAAAAATATCTAATCAAAAATTTTTTCAATCAAAAATTATAGGACATCATTCCCGACAAAAAAAAAATTTTTTTTTCATAAAATATTTTTTTTTTCTTTTTAAAGAAAAAAGTCGAATAGTAATCTTTCAAGTGAAACAAATTTAGAATATTTACATATCAAGATATGGAATCCACAATAATGAATTCAGTGAATTCACTTGATGCTTTATTTGATCTCTCAGCTACCACAGCATCATCATCACCAATCATCAATAGTGAGGATACAGACGTCTCCAATGTTATTTGCGAGGCTGAGCCAAGCAATGATGAACTTTTACTTAATCATAATAATGCAATTAATATTGGCGAGTCCAACTCTTCTTCTACCTCATCCTCCTCTAATTCTTCTTATACGCCCTCTTCATCATCCTCATCAACCATGTCATCTCCTCAAATCAATAATGTCTTGATCCTTAACAACATCAACACTAACAACAACAACATCCCCTCTCCCACCACCTCTTCACCTACCACCTCCACTTCCTCAATCAATGATGGTAGTGCTTCTCCTACCATTTCACCTCAACAAGCTTCTGCTAATAATAAAAAAAGAACTCGTGCTACTCCTGAACAACTTGCTATCTTGGAAGATACCTTTAAAACAAATACCTCGCCAAACTCAAAAGTTCGTGAAGCATTAGCTGAAAAGGTCAGCATGTCGGAACGCTCAATTCAAATCTGGTTCCAAAATCGTCGTGCTAAAATGAAGGCCGTGCAAAAACGTGCCCATTTAATGATCAATCAAGAATCCTTGAATCATTTCATGACTTGCATGCCACCAAGCTACGGTAACATATATCCTTTCCGCATGCCCATTCATCAACATCCTCAACGAATTGCCTTACCAAATGTTGCTTTTTCTGCCGGTATGAGACCACAACCAAACATATCTAATAATCAACCTCAACCTCAACAACAGTACACACCTCCATTACAACAGTACTCACCTCCACAAGAGTTTATTACTCCTTCGGCCTTTAATAATACAAGTGTGACATTGATGCCATGTGAAACTCTCACAATTGGTACTTGGAGAAGAATCTTGACCATCCAAGAACCAAAAGATTTATTATGTTATTATACCCTTCCACAAGATCTTATCACTTATCATATCACCAATGATAACACCCACTTCAAAATGGAATTTCCTTTTGTTGACATCACTTCAATTGAATACAGACCCATCGATGAAAGCACCAGCCAGCTCGCTATAGAAGTTAAAGACACCCCAAGGTTCTTTATGGAATCTCCACATGGTAAATGGAACATGTGCAAAGATTTTACTGAAGATAGGCAAGCATCTAGACACATGAGACATGTTATCAAGGGCAGATCTGCTTTCATGAAACCTGCTCTCATCAAACTCATGCAAGATAACTCTGATCTCGCAAAAGTTGTTACAATACTTGATTCTCCAAATAATGCCTCCTATCCTTCACCTTCATCATCTATAACTGATAGTCAAATCAATAATGCTGTTAACGGTGACAATAAAAACATCATCAATAATGATATAATGATGGGTCTACAACAATTACAACAAAACAATGATCAACCATTACGTCGCTCTTCATTCCCAGTCCCAGCCAATAACAACAATAGTTTTATTAACGGAAATTCAATTAATAATGACAATGGTTTATGTATTAACGGTTTGAGCATTAACAACAATAGTAGCAGCGCAAATGAATTATTACAAAATATTCATCGTCTCCGTCGGTCTGCTTCAGTTCCATTAACACCAAACAGTGAAATTAATGGTTTCTCATCTTCATCTACAGCATCACCGTTGTCATTATCTTCATTATCTTCATCACCATTGTCCTTATCGTCATCACCAGTAGATGTATTTGATAGTTCACCAACAATCATCCAATCATCACCATTACTAAATCAACATCCATTTGTAGGATTCCAATCGTCTCATAATCTTAGTCATCTCCAAATGGATTCTGAAACATCAACAATATTATCTGATGAACAAATAGCCGCTTCAATGATTTCATTTAATGACGATACATCATTTATGAGTGGTATGAATTTGGAAGATCCTTGGGGTAGCGACATCGCTTCTTTCTTGTTAGATACGTGTTGATTTGACAATACAACAAGGAATAAAAATAAAAATATTTATTTATATTTAAATAGAATAGATAGATAACTCATCTTCATCAAACACATCTACTTAACGCTATTTTATGATTTTTTTATTAAGTAAAGAAAGGCGTATAATAACATCAATCAATCAATCAAAATCAATCAAACAAACAATTCAATTCAATTCAAACAATTTTTATATATACATCATCACATCATACACACACATTTTTACAAATTTTCATCATGTGAACTGTTATGCAAAAGAACTTTTTTCATTTTCATTTTTTTTTTTTCATTTTTCTTTTATGAGGTTGATAAAGTTTTTTTTAATTTTTTTTTAAGAAAACTTAAGATATGGATTTTTTTTTAATTTTAATTTTAAATTTTTAATTTATATATATATATATTTATATTTATATATTTTAATATTTACAACAAACTAAATAAATAAATATATATTTTTATATATATACATGTAATTATATATTTATTTATATATATAGAAAAATGATGATAATTTTTTTTGTTGTTGGATCTTTGAATAATTAAAATATATAACGTATATAAGTATAAATATATATATATATATTTAGATATAACAAAAAAACAAAAAAAAAAAAGCAGAAAAAACCAAAAAAAAATATAAAAACAATATGGGCATTTTTCATTTTATTATAGAGGTACATAAACACAAATATATATAAAAAGGTTAATAGGGAAAAAAATAGAGTAGCATTATATAGCGACTATTATTTTTCTGGTAATAATAGAAAATTGAAAACTTTAGAATAAAGAAAGTTTTACAATTTTTATAAATATATAAATAGATCTTTTTTTTTTATTTTCAGAATCTTTTTTTCCATATTAACTCCCCCTTCACCATTAACATCCTCCAATTTTTATCCTATAACCATTAACGACTCCTTAATATTAATCAATTTTTTATGTGTATTTATGATTTTTTTAAACCAACTCACACTCACTATACATTCATTCATCAATTATTTATTTATTTATTTTTTCCAAGCTAGTTTTTGGAAGAAATTTTTTTAATTTTTTTTTTTTATTTATTTTCCTTTTAATTTAATTTGTTTGTAAATTATAATAAAAAATCAAAAAAAAATTTTATAATAATTAATAATTAATAATATAATATAATAATCAAATTAATCAAAAATCCGGTGGGATTTTTTTTTTTTTTGAAAATTTTCTTTTTTTTTTTTATTTAATAATAATAATAATAAAAAAATTTTATAATTAATAATAATAATAAAATTATCGTTGATAAATTTTCCAATATTATTTGCATTGTATATAGTCTGGGATTTTACCGTATCAACATAGCGGGCTTTCCCTGTGGTTGGCTTTATTTTATTTTGTGTAAAATGACGATCATTACTAAAATAAAATTTTTGCAATTTTTATTTTACCGTTAACAATATTTGGGGCATGCTGTAACAAAACCAGACAAAGTGAACATTGGTATTACCAACAATTCCAGGGGTTAAAATTTAGTAATGTGATTATTAAAATCTTCCATTTGTTATCCTATTAATATTAAGTGATATGTAGAACTATCCCTATACAAAAATAGTTAATATGAAATTAATTTACATTAGGTCTACTATGGAACCAAAGAATTATAGCACCATTAGAAGTATTTTGAAGAAAGAACAAGGTGAGAAAATCGCTCCTTACATTTTCAAAATAAATGAAACTCAAACACTTGAAGCTTATCTAAGGAAAGAAAAGATTACTTATGAAATTTACCATGAAGAAAAAAAAAATAATAAATGTTGGAAAAAGAAAGCAACATGATGATGCATTGTTACCTAACAAAAAGCAAAAATCTTTAAAAGGAAAATAATTTTATTATTACAATATTGATTTATTTTTTTTTACTGACTATTACCACAAAGAAAATTCTCCTGTAAAAAAACATTGTTTGAATTTTTGAACAAAAAATTCTACTACATTCAAGGATATGTTTTATGAGTCTTTGTTTTTCTCTCATTGACATTAAAACAAGGTAAATAATCCCATCTTGTATTGGAACATTATAAAGACATTACCAATTCACTTAATTTTCAGGTAAAAAAATTCAAATAACAAATCCTTCTAATATTCATCATTAAACAATTTTACTTTTTGGTTTAAAAAAAATGAATAATCAATAAATATTTATACAATTTTCATCCATAATAACATTTTAAAAAAAATGCTTACATTCAATAATGAACTTTTTTGTGAATTGTTAATTGGACTCCTTCTTGGTTTCTTGATTCACCATAAAACCTACCAAAATCAATTCCATACTATAAGTAATACTTACAAATGGCTTTGGGTCCGAGTATTTTCCTCCCATGCAGGTGCTCTGACAATTCTTTAACTTATATTTTTATAAATTGTTTATTTATGTATTTTTCTATTATTAGTTGAATTAAAATAAAAATAATTTTCTTTTGTCGTTTAGTTCATTTGTCTGTAAAAAAAATTTTTTTTTAATTCCAAGTCATGTGCCCACTAATTTATCATTGGTCCAAATTATTTATAGAAACAATTAATTGTAACAATTACAATAAAAAAAAAAATTCTTTTTTTTTTACTTTTAAGAAAATGGCAACGTGCGAAGTAGTCAAACAAGAATTAAACAAGGCAAGGGTGATATGGGGCGAGGTGACAAAGAAGTTGGAAAATTTCATGAAGGAGGAGAATTTAGAGAAGTTTGAGAAAAGGTGGGGAGCAGAGATGATGAAAGAAGAGAAGGAAAAGTTAGAAGAAGAAGAAGAAGATTGGAGAAAAGAAGTTTTTGAGTGGGAAAAGAAGCTACGTGAGTTTGAAGAAAAAGGTATTGAACAAATTGTGTAAAAAAAAAAATTATTTTTCATTTGTTCCATTTTGTTTATTTTTCGTTCATTCAATTTCGTTTATTTATTTATATGTTTGTCTGTGGAATATTTGAATTATCATTTACAACTTTAACTGACTTGTGCTTTTCAATTTCTTGTTTATTGATTTTTAACCATTTACTTACTTCTCAGCTAGGAGAAATTATGATGAAGTTATTGCTAGACTTGATAGGATTGATAATGAAGTTATTGCTAGACTTGATAGGATTGATAATGAAGTTATTGCTAGACTTGATAGGATTGATGATGAATTTATTCCTAGATTTGAAAGTATTGATAGGATTGATAAAAATATTGAAGATATGAAGAGAGAAACAACTTCAGTACCCATATCAAAAATAACTGAAGGATATTGGATGAAGATTCAAGAATTTACTGGTCTTGATTACCAAGCAACGACATGTGAAATAGAGTTTCCAAACCTTGATTTAGATTTGGGTAATGAGAGGATTGATGCTTTTGGATGGGAGGATGCCATAGAAAGATCACAAAGTGATAGATACAAACCTCACCTCACAAGTATACTCAAACTTGCCTCATTTCAAAAACTTGGACTTTATGATCCAGCTGGAGATGATAGTTTTCTTAGTACAAGTACTGATATCTTACCAATAAGACTTTCTGGAACAACAGACTTAGTTATAGTGGACAGGCATTCTATTGCTCCTCAAGCCCAAGAGAAACATATCCGAGTCCTCTTTGAGCTAAAGAAGGTTGTCAATAAGAAACACACATTTCAAACCATGGCAGTGCTAATTTCCGCAGATTTAAAATCAATATATCCAGTCTTGGCTGTGTTAACCGATCTGATAGATGATTGGCATTTTTTTTGGATTAAAGAAAAAATTATTATGAGGCTTACTCTTTCTAGAGCTAACTCTGTGGCATTGTTACGACATAATCTTACATTGGCGAATGATGAATTGATAGAATTGGTGAATCGAGCATCATCTGGACTCACATGTGTAACACAAGAAAGCACTGAAATGAATATAGAATCAAGCTCTTCTGAAGTAGGAAACCCATTACCAAAAAGACAGAAGCTTAGACATGCTATTACAACTTCTAATGTAAGTTCAGATATAGCTCCAATGGAAGATTTTTTTGATAGTATGAGCGAAGAAGAAATATTCAGATATAAATTGAAAAAAACTTTAACCCCATTTTTTAGCCAGCCAATCTTTAATGAATTGAACAATCCAAAAAAATTACCTCTACAACCTGACAATGAAAAGATTAGATTAGATTAATTAGAATAATTATAATTATTATGTGCTGGCTATATTATTTTATCAAATAACTCGATTTTATTTTAGGAATTGGTATCCTAATCCTCCAATCCTAATGAAAATCAAAATATTAATACTTGTAAGAATTTCTGAGGTTGTGATATATTTTTCTTTTGTCTCATCCAAATGTATAATATAGTCATGATTAATCATACTGGGCTTGTATTATGATCACAATTCATAGAAAGCTGATATTTTGTATACACCACTTTATTTCATAATAATAAACATTATAGTTGTTCACCATAATAATAATTGTTTTCGATTTCTGTAATATTACAGATTTTGGACCACAATCTGTAATGTTTCCATAACAGTTGTGTGACATTTCCTTTCTATTGATTTTCTATATGTAAAAACAAAATTTCTAACTTGTGTAACAAAATGTTTTTTAAAATAACTCATCATTTTCATAACAAATTTGAATCTTGTTATTAAGATAAAATAAAACTACATTATTAATGCTTTCTAGTGAATGCTTTTTTATATTGAAACAAACTCTCTAGATAGAGTTACGACTGTTCAAAATGGTGTCACATTTTCACTTCAAAGCTGAGATTGTTTTTCAGTTTTACATTGAATATCTTAAAAAGTGGTTAAAATGATGTATAATACTTTAAACTTTCATATGAGTATTATTTTATGGGGTTGTTTGTTATTAAAGTTTGGAGAAAATAGCAAAAAACTAGAAAAAACATATAAAATTCTCAAAATTTTCTAAATGTGAAGGAAATTCGAGGGAAATTTATAATTAAGATCATCAGTATTGTTATCCAAAATCAGTAAATTATTTTCCAAAATTAGTAATTTTGTAATAAACTTTGATCCTCAGATCATTCTCCATTTTATTAATAACCATCCCCAATTTTTTTTTTCAAAAAATGAGTATATAATGAAGAGTCTATGTGTCAAATTTGCAGGGATATCTACACAGAAAATATATAAATTGGGGTTTGAAGATATTTTTTCATATAAAATTTCAATGTTGATCAACTGAAAAATTTCAGAAAATTAACTAGAAGCTAATTTGGGTGAAATGTCACACGACTGATAATAATAATAATACCAGCACTAATACTATACTAAATTTGTGATCACGTGAAAAATTTACTGGGTATGTGCGTGATGAAAATCTTAGGTCACACAATCTCATAAATAACGTGATCATAATGGCTTCAGTGAAAGATCTGCATTTTTATAATTTGA